AGTACGACCGCAGTGTTTCTACAACCAGCCGCGTTCCGTTGCACAGGCCGCGGTGCGGAGCGAAGTTCCGAAGGAGGATCACTAAGGAGCCGCTGCGCAAGCGCAACTCGTGCGGCGGGAGTCCAGCTGTTTGGATGCTGTTGAGAAGCTCGGTGGCGTAGGTATCACCGTGATCCACTTCGGCGATGGCCACGTCGTGGCTCCGGGACACTACTTCGGCATCGGGGGGCAACTTCGCGTGCATGAGGGCGTTGAGGGCGTCAGCAGCATCGTTCGTTGGCGTCGCAACGGCACGGGAAGCATAACACTGGTACCATTGCGCAGGCTCTACCGTGGCAAAGCCCTCGTACACCCACTCCAACAAATCTCCTGGTCTCCAAGAATGGGGGGCCAGAACGGCGTCGGGGAGTTCGACGACGCACGCCTCATACTCTCTGTCTACGTTTTTCGAATGGTGGAGAGGCGCACTCGCCGCCCCCGACCGCGGGGCGTTTCCTTGTAGATTTTCCCCTTGACGTATGAGAACCCCACTTTCGGCTTGTGTTTTCCACTCGGTATATTGGAGTTCCCCCATAAGAACAAGTGCCCTGGGGCATGAACTTTTGACGACGCCATTCCCTGACAATGGATCTTATATGTTCCATGATGGTGCCAACCTGAGGAGCACATACGAAGACAGTTTGGTACCCACGACCTTGTAACCACCAACATTCCATGTCTGAGGTTGCACGGGTATTATTGGTTGTTGTCCAATGTGACTGTATACCTTAAAAATCAAATGCTGAGGCCGGTCCCTTCGCTCGAACCTTTGCATACATGGTGCTCGAGTCTATAATGTGAATTTCGCTGATGCAATCTCGAGCCACAACAACTGATGCGATCTCGAGCCGCAACAACAAGACGGCCCCACGAACGGCACGAGATGACTACAAGATGGCCCGACGAGCGGTTTGTCAGAGCTTCGAGTGTAACTTCCCGGCGAGGAGTTGGATTGCGGAGTCCCTTTGAGTCGGTTTGGGGCCCGAGGCGGGCCTAAGACAACCCTAGAAGCCCCCAAGAACGTGCAAAATCGCTCCCAGATGACCCCACCGAATAATCCCTGAGCGCTCCGATTCGAACTCCCCGGCGAAAAGTTGGATTCTGGAGGTCTCCATGGGTCGTCTTGGAGCCCAAGACGGCCTGCGCGGGAGCCCTAGAAGATCCAAAGACGGCAGAGGCGGCACCGTGAACGCTCGAACTCGGCCCAAGAAGACCCCAACAAATAGTCTCTGAGCGCACCAAATCTAACTCCCCAGCGAGGAGTTGCATTTTGGGGTCCTCCATGAGTCGCCTTGGGGCCCGAGACAACCCGTAAGACAGCCTTACGCAGCTCAAACACGGCCAAGGCTATTCCAGCAACAGCCCAAGATAGCTCCAAAAGTGCTTCCATGGGGCCGAGCGAGTAGTCTCTCAGGGTTCCGACCCCCACTCCCCAGCAGAGTTGGATCAGAGTTGTCCATGAACCGCCTTGGAGGGAAAGACGACCGAAACTGGGGTTCTCACGCGTCAAAGGGAAAAACCTACAAGCAAGCGCCCCGCGGCTGCTTTGGACACGCCTCTTCCGGTGGCCAGTTATAGAAACCTCGGCTTAAAGTGTTTTCAATGTAAGGCGTCAAAAAATTATAGTCAGGTGCGTAATTTCGTAGAGTTCATGCCGAACGAGACCATGAGAGGCCTTGTGGCCAACAGGTTCGGGAAAGGAGGGTTTCGTGTAGTGTGTGCAGATTGCGCGCTACTGTGGGAACGCGCAAAACAAAATTGTGTCAAAACACGGGCATCAGATGGAGGGTCCCTTTTGCTAAGAACAGCGCAAGCGTTTGTTTCGCGAGACATGGGCGCAGGCGCTTTCGATCACATGGGCGCGTGGCATCCCAGCGTTGCCGTGCACCGGACCTGCAAGTGGGAACCCAGATACGATAGTACCGCGACAGGTGCTCTTGACAGTGCATTGGCCTGCGCCACCGATATTGATCGTCTCAGTGCATTTGCGCGGAGACTCATGCACGCAAGCCGCCGGTCAGAGGCGATTCGCCAGGCGGCGTTGCGCCGGGGGCTCGGACAACGGACTATGCGTAGTACTGAAGCGGTGAAAACATATCTGAATGCCCTGGATACTCAATCATTCACTCTCCCTTTTTATTTTGATCGAAGACGCCTACGGCGAATCACCGCCGCCCCCTGCCTTTCTGGAAGCGCCGATGCGGCCGAAATTTGGGCTAGAGCTTGGCCAAGCTATCGGAGCATGGGTTCCCCGAGTCGGTTTTGAAAGCTTTCGGGGAACACTGCCCTTGGGGGAGAATGAACAGGAACAGGATGAGAGGAAGCGGAAAAGTAGGAGGATGAGGGTTGTTAGGAGTCTCTTGGGGCACCCCTGGGGTCTGTTGGGAGCTACTTGGGGGCCTGTGCGAAGCCTCTTGGAACCATATCGGGGGCCTCCTTGGGCCTCTTGGGGGCCTTTTTGGGCTTCTCGGGGTCTCTTTGGCCGTCTCAGGGCGTTCCTGTCCCGTCTTACGCCGTTTGGAGCCGTTTCGGGGTCCTCCATGAATCGTCTCGGGGCCCAAGACAGCCCGTAAGACAGCCTTACACTGCTCAAACACGGCCCAGGCTATTCCAGCAACAGCCCAAGATAGCTCTTCCTCCCCCTCCTCCTCCTCCTCCTCCTCTTCCTCCCCCTCCTCCTCCTCCTCCTCCTCCTGCTTTCCATGAGTGCCTCCCTGGAGGCCCCCCCCCTTGGGAGACACTTCTCCCCTGGAGGTGCTTTCGTGGATGCTGGCTCCGCCCGCCTGCTGCGCACGGCCGAGGCCGGCGGTCGCTGTTCGCCAGGAGGGGGGAGGAGGAGGAGGAAGAGGAGGAGGAGGAGGAGGAGGAGGAGGAGGAGGAGCAGGATGAGGAGGAGGAGCAGGAGGAGGAGAAGGAGGAGGAGCAGCAGAAGCAGCAGCAGCAGCAGCAGCAACAGCAGCAGCAGCAACAGCAGCAGGAGGAGATGGAGGCTCCTTCTCCTCCTCCTCTTCCTCCTCTTCCTCTTCCTCCTCCTCCTCCTCATCCTCTCCCTTTCTCTTCCTCCTCCCCCTGGAGGCTTCCCTGGAGACCCCCCTGGAGGCCCCCTGGGGGAGGCCCCCCTGGAGAAGGCCTCCCCGAAAAACCCCTCTGCTGGCAGCTCTGGGATCCCCTTACCCCCGTTCCATGGCCTCCTCCGCCTCCTCCTCCCCGTCCTCCTCCTCCTCCTTCTGCGCCTCCTCTTCTTCTGCTGCTTCTGCTTCTTCTGCTTATCCTCCTCCTCCTCCCCTCCTCCTCCTCCTCCTCCTCCCCCTCCTCCTCTTCCTCCTCCTCCTCCTGCCGCTCCCCCTCCCCGCCTTTCTCCTCCTGTTGCTCCCCTCCTGCTTCTCCCCCTCCTGCTCCTCCTCCTTTTCTTCGTCTTCCTCGTCCTCCTCCTCCCCCTCCTCCGTGTCATCCTGCCCCCGTGGCCTCCTAAAGAAGGCAGCCCAGGTTCATGCGCACACCGCGGCCCCTGGAGTTGCAGCTGGTCCCCCATGGGGTGCCCTTGTCGAATCAGAGGACGAAGTTGCTTCAGTCACAGCGTCGTGATTCTGGACCACGTTCTGCCCAGATGCGGCGCATGAATGTTCGCGATCAGCCGATGCGGTTGTCGGGTTGGGTGTGTCACCGTTGAGCGCCACGAATGCCTCCAGGAGCCCCAAGGAGGACACGTTCGTGGGGCCGCCTTGGCCGTCTTTGAGGCTTCCAGGGCTGTGTCATGGGCCGGCCGGGGCCCCAAGACGGCTCATGCGGGACTCCGAAAGCCAACTCCTCGCCGGGGAGTTGGAATCGAGGCTCGCAGAGACCGTTCGTTGGGTCATATTGGTGATATCTGGCGCCGTTCCGTCTTGGCAGACTTTCAGGTTTCCAGGCTGCCTCACGGCCCACCTGTGCTCCCAAGGCGATTGAAGGACAACTCCGAAATCCAACTTCTCGCTTCGTTCGGCCATCTTGAAGCCATTCTGGAGCTATCTTGGGCCGTTCGTAGAGTAGCCTTGCCCGTTTTTGAGCAACCCATGGCTGTCTTACGGGCCGCCTTCGGCCCCAAGGCGATTCATGGAGGGCTCCAAGATCCAACTCCTCGCCAGGGAGTTGGAATCGGCGCGCTCTGCGACTATTGGTAAGTGTCACCTTGGAGCGAGTCTGGGCGTACGTGGGGCCGCCTTGGCCGTCTTTGAGGCTTCAGGGCTCTGTCATGGGCCGTCCGGGGCCCCAAGACGGCTCATGCGGGACTCCGAAAGCGAACTCCTCGCCGGGGAGTTGGATTCGAGGCTCTCAGAGACCGTTCCTTGTGCCATCTTGGTGGTATATGGTGCCGTTCCTGGCATCTTGGGACTCGCTAGCAGGCCTCTTGGGCCGTTTTTTGTGTTATCTCAAGGGCCGCCACAGCTTCTTGGAGCGACGAGGGGGTCTCTTGGAGCCCTGGTTTGCTCCAAATCGCCAAAACCCTGTAAAAAAACACAAGGAAAGTGAGGCCCCGGGCCCCCCATGCGCTGGCGAGGTCCCTGGGCGGGCCCCCCCGGACCGGGCCCCCCGGTATATATATATATATATATATATATATATATATATATACATACATATATATACATATATATATATACATGTCTACACATGTTTATGTGTATAAATATATGTGTATATATACATGTATATACATATATACATATATACATACAGGTGTGTGTGTGTGTGTGCGCACACGGGGTGCCCATACTCAATGGGCTACGAGCTCGTGCGTGTAATCAGGTGGGCCGGTAGTGATGGTTCTATCTCTCTCTCTCTCTCTCGCTTATCCTGTTTGCTGGACTGGTTCCTCCTCATCGTCGGCATCATCTCTCTTACCTTTTACCTTGTCACTGCCTGCTCCCCCCTCACTGCAATTCTCGTGCTTCTGTTCCTTATCCTCATGCCCCCCATCGAACCGAACACGAACACCGCCAGGCCCAACGCAAGCTGGTACGGCGTCGTGCGCAGGAGATCCCTCGCAACGTGGGGGACAGCATCATCCCTACCGATCACCATCATCATCATCATCATCATCAGCAGCAGCAGCAACAGCAACAACAGCAGCAGCAGTAGAATCGCCGGCATCACCATCATAATCATCATCTTAATAAGCATCATCATCATCAGCAGCAGCATCAGCATCAGCATCAGCATCAGCATCAGCATCAGCATCATCAGTCATCATCGCCATCGTCAGCATCATCATCTGCAGCGGCAGCATAATCAGCATCATCAGCATCACTAGCATCATCATCATCATCATCAACAACACCACCACCATCATTATCATCATCAGCATCATCAGCATCGTCCTCGTGATCATCATCATCTCATCAGAACCATCATCAGAATCAGCATCCTCACCATCATCATCATCACCAAATCATCAGCATTCACATCATCAGTATCATCGACCACATCATCATCAACATCATATCAGCGCATTCATCCCAGCATCATGATAATTATCATCAATATTATCGTCATCATCATCAACATCAGCGCCATAATCATCATCAATCATCATCATCATCATCATCATCATCAGCAACATCATCATCATCCTCATCATCATTATAACCTGAAATCACTATTGCCATCCTCACCATCATCATCTTCCAACGCCACCATCCCCCCTCTCCCATCCCTCCGACTGGTATATTATCCACGTGCGTCTGCGTCCTCCCCTTCCTCATCCTCATTCTCCTCCTGCCCCTCAACCTCCGCATCCTCCGCCTCCTCCTGCTCCTCCTCCTCCTCCTCCTCCTTCTCCTCCTCCCCCTCCTCCAGCTTCACATTATCCTGCTCATCCTCCTCTTGGCAGGTGTGTAGATGAGGCAAGATGTCGGTGCGAAGCACGGTCTTACACCAGAAACAACAAAAAACAAAAAGGGCAGACGAGCTCGATGGAACTCCGCTCTGTCCGATTCTACCAGCACAGGTGGCCGGAGGCTGAGCGCGCAAGTGCGAGCGAGTGGAAGGTCGCCAAAATTTCTTTGAGCAACGCCAACTGCACGCAGAAGGCGACGAGGATCGCGGAGGCAAGGGCGTAATGTAGAACACCACGCCACGAAGTCCTGTCCCGTTCGACCGGCGCCGAACGGCCACTGTCCGAGAGTAACGCCGACTGCACGCAGACGGCGTCGAGGAGCGAGGAGAAGAGGACGTAGAAGTGGAAGAACATGCCTCCCCGGAAGCCATGCCCCGTTCAGCCGGGCAGAATACTCCAACCAACGGACGCCGAACGGTCAATGTCCGAGAGGAGCGCCGGATGGCGCCCCAGATGAAGAACGCGAAATTGAGGAAGATCACGCCTTGTCTCAAGTCGTGCCCAAGCCGGCCGGGGAAGGTGAATCCCGCGGACGCCGGCCGGCCTTCCCAGAACACCTCGTGAAAGGCGGTGTGTGCGCCCCGCCGGCGGAGCCAGGACGGTCCCTGGAGAAAGCAACACCGCCCTGGACATCCGTCGGGCCAGGAAGAAGAGAGGTAGAGTCCAGCCCAGGGCCGGCTGCTGTCCGTGCGGTCATTGCCGCTGCCATCTAGAAATGGCCCGAGTCCAGCAGGCATACTTTGTGAAAACCTGCAGGTACGTGTTGTTCGTGTAGAAGTACTGTCGAATTCATGCGGTGCTCCCGGCTGGGAGCAGGAAATACTTTGCCCAGACAATCTCTAGTGCTTCAATGCCGAAGCATCGAAGCCCAACCACACGGCGAGGACGCGTTGTCATGGTTGTCTCATCCTTCTCTTCCTCCTCTCAGAGAGAGCGGCTTCTGTGAACGCTGGCTTGGCGGCAGAACCCCCCCCATTGAAGCCGACCCCCCCCCTCCCACACCCCCTCCTCCCATCCCTCCTCCGCCCCCCCCCCCTCCCCCCCTCCCCCCCCATCCCCCCCCCCCATCCCCCCCCCACACACACACACACCCACACCACACACACAAAAAAAAAAAAAAAAAAACACCTCCCGCCTCACCTCTCCTGCCCAGCGAGAACCCCTTGTGCGCCCCCCCCATTCCTCCCACCCCCCTTCCGAAGGGAAGGGGGGGGATGATCGGTCGACCCCCTGAGAGTGCAGGTACATAGGTTACGATGCGGGTTGACCTGTCTCATATTGGAATTCAGTCGAGTGGTGGTAAGGGTTGGAGGCGCCGACAATGTGGATGTTTCGGTCAGGACGGGGTTGGGTACGTGCCCGAGTAATGCCAATATGAGGCTGTCAATGGGGATATCTCGACCGATGCCTCAGGGGTATAAGGCCGAAAAGGTTGGTGTAATGTGCTCCAGGTTGGGGTAGATGTTGCGTCGCAACTGCTTTGAAGTACGACGTCTCAGATTCCTAGTACTGCCCGCATCCACTTCCCCCTGCTCCTCCTCATCCTCCTCCTCAGCAGCATCGTCAGCATCATCATCCTCATCCTCATCTCCATCACTCCCCCTATCAACATCATCACCAGTATTACTAACATCATCGTCGTCATCACTACAACCCACATATATACGACCACCACCACAACCCTCCTCCTCAGCATCGTCGTCAACCTCATCAACAGCACCAACGTCTCGATAATGACACGAACAATGAGCCGAATACTCATCATACAACTGAAACAGCCGGTGTAGTGATTTTGATTCTAAGGATAACGATAATAATACGAATAACAACCATAACATAATCAGTACCACCATCATCATCAATATGAGCATAAGCATCATCAGCATCATCAGATCCATCTTCATCAGCATCACCACCATCATGAAAAACACCACCATCGTCATCATCCTCGTCAGCAACGTCCGCATCATCAGCAGCAGCAGCATCAGCAGCAGCACTACAATCACCACCACGACCAAAAACATCAGCAGCACCATCATCATTGTCGTCAGCATCACCATCAGCATCTTCATATTCATCATCATGATCCTCATCATCATCAGCATCATCAGCATCAACGTCAGCATCGTCAACATCATCATCTTCATCAGTAGCATCACCGCCTTCAGCATCAACAACAGCATCAGCATCGTCATCACATTCATCATCACCATAATGATCGCCACCATCATCATCATCATCATCATCATCATCATCATCATCATCATTACCACCACCACCACTACCATCATCATCATCATCATCATCAGCATCATCATCATCAGCAGCAGCAGCAGCAACATCATAATCATCATCATCATCACCACCATCATCATCATCATCATCATCATCAGCATCATCAATCATCATCGACATCAGCAGCAGCATCATCCCCATCTTCAGCTTAAGCTGCATCTTCATCTTCAGCATCGTCATCTTCATCATCATCGTCATCATCATATTCATCATCCTCATCATCATCATCATCAGCGGCATCATCAATCATCATCGACATCAGCAGCAGCATTATCCCCATCTTCAGCTTCAGCTGCATCTTCATCTTCAGCATCTTCATCTTCATCATCATCGTCATCATCATCTTCATCTTCATCATCATCCGACCCCGACTCCGACGACGATCCTCGCCTCCTAATCATCCTCCTCCAGCTCCTCAACCTCGTCCTCCCAATAGATTCCTCCTCCTACTCCGCCTATCCCTCCTCGCGGCTCTAGCACATAAAGCCCCCCTCCCGCCGAATGAGTCGCGTACAGGCGACTGGGCTTCACTGTTGCGTCGAACTTCGAGCGAGCGTAGCTATCATCCTTCTTCTCCTTCTCCTCCCCCTCCTCCTCATCATCATCCTCATCATCATCACCATCAGCATCATCATGATCATCACCATCATCACCATCATCATCACCATAATGTCATCATCATCATCATCATGATCATCACCATCATTACCATCATCATCATCACCATCATTTCATCATCATCAGCATCATCAGCATCATCAGCATCACCATCAGCATCATCATCATTCCTATCCTGATAATTTTGTTGTCGGGGGCTATCCCTGTCAGCTTGGACAAAATTGCAATTTCACCGCCTGGCATCCGAAGGGGGGTGGACCGTGATCGGATTCCACGGCAGTTCGGACATTCCGACAAGTGACGCGGGCAGCCCATGCTGATGACAAGCTGCACTGCGTGTTCCTGTGTTGACTATGGCTTCTGCCACCGCGTTGAACCGTTCGGCCTTGAATGCTCTACGCCAATGCAGGTCCACAAAGGTCGCTGGGGGTCCGCAGCGTTGAACGCCCGAGTCCGCGTTTTCGCCATGTCAAGGCGGCACGAACCGACCGCATGACGGTCCCCTTTCCAGGACGAGGGCAGGATCGGCATAACATCGAATAGGGCCAGCTCAACTACATGTGCAGACCTGGGTCGATCCTGGGCGCAGGGTGGGCCTGGCTAGGATGGCGAGGCGTTGACCTAAGGAACCCAAAATAAGGAACGAGGCCCCTTTCTCCCATCAGTTCAACCTCGATTTCCGATGGAAAACCTCAGGAAAACCCGAGGCAAACTTTGAAACAGTCAAGGAACACCGAGCCCCTCCCCAGCGAGAAGGGTTCCTTCTTCAGCGCCCCGACTGTAGTTGGCGCCCTCCGAACAACGGCAATTTTGCGGCCCACACATCGCGAGGGAGGCGACAGCAAAGCGTCTGAACCCAAGCCGCCGTCTTATGTTGCATCTTCGGAAGGGACCTTCTCTGTTCCATGCGCCGCTATAACTCTGCGTCGAATCCACGCCGAGTCCAAACGGAACCCGCGTCGGGCACAAGAAAAAAAGGCACCTTCAAGACAGACGTGGCCCCCCGAGGATACACTTCGAGGGGGCAGGCACGAGTATCTCGATCACCAAACTCCCCTTCTGGGAGAACAAAAATATACCGACACTGTCACTCCATAGACCTCTCCGAGGCTGACCAGAAGTCTCGAGGCGAATGACTCCGTGGCGACGAAGGCCTCCGAGAGCAGGGCACCGGTATCGGCATGTCTGCCCACAGCTCACAATACTCTCAGGACCGATCTCCAGACCCCTCTAGGCAAGCGCGTTCCACTATACTCGCAAAGGAACTACTCGCAAATGGCCTGCATCCGCCGCGGGAGATGCGCGATCCATTGCATAAAGGAAGACATGTCATTCCAAACGCTTGGAAGTAGGCATCTCTGCGAGTAGCGGAGCGCGCTGGGTGACCCTCTCGGGGCGCACGGAAGCCCGCGACGACAGACCGATGAAGCGATCCAACCCGAACCACTCCCCCTCAAGGCCGTGCACGGCGACAGCACAACCGAAAGCCGACCGAACCGACAGCGAAACCGAAACCGCCCGAAACCGACAGGCCGAAAGCAGCCTAGAAGGACGCAGCGACGCGGCAACGATGCACGAACCGACCGAATCGAAGAGACCGCGAATCAACCGACGGCGACGCCAACCGGACCGACCGAACCATGAACACCCTCTTCGGGTGTTGCTGGAATCTCTCTGGCCCAATGTGCTCCCAGGATTTCCAAGAAGTCCCCCACGGCCTCCAAAACACCCTCAAGAGGCCCAGAAGGTCCCAGAGGCTCAACAATTGAGCGAAGCAGCCTTAACAGCCCCCCGTTTGAGATCCGACGTCTCAAGAAATTCGCATCATCGTCGAAAATCACGACTGGAGCCTTAGACCTCATCTTCCTGCACCATTTTTCAAGCCTGATCGATTCGGGTGGGTCCCAGGGCCCGAAGACCGGCGAAAATGCCCGTTGCGATGAAATTGCAACGCCGGGGCTAAAGGGTCTGAGGGGCAACGATAGGGGGGACTGGCATGGGGGGAACATCGGCCCAGAATCGGCGATACATCGCGTATAGCTCGGCGACAGGCCCCGATCGTGAGTCTGCGCGTTTTTAGGCAGGTCGCGGCTATCGGGCCCCGTATCGGCGAGGAATGGGAATCGGAGTCCACGCATCCCCCCTATATCCCCCCGCATGTCAGCTTGTGATTAACAAAACCGTGGGGGGCGCATGTTTAAAACAATAATTCCCATGCTCGGGCGAATCGCAGGGTGGCGCCCGCCACATTGAAAATCAACGGGGCGGCGCCGGTGATTAGCGCCGACGCCCGGCCGCCAACGAGGGGCAAGGCGGGGGGGGTGTTGGAGGAAAGGGCGAGCCAGGGCGCCCCTATTTCTGTCGAAACTATTCGGGCCTGCGGGCAAGGCCGGCTTGACGAAAACTGGGCGCAGCATAGGGGGATTTGCCAAGCAGTTCACGTTGCTGATTTTCCACGCGCCTCATAGCGCCGCGGCCATGCGTCGAGGACTGGCCCTTCGGCCGGGCGACCGAAACAAGTTGCGCGCAGCAGGCTTTGCAACCCCCCCTTTCCTTCCCCAGCCTTTCGTCCGACCCGAGCAAGGCAGGTAGTCCTCCTCCCCCCTCTGTCGCCGTCGTCGCCGCCGTCCCCCGTCATGCCTGCGCCCGTTTCCAGCGGCCGCTCTCTTCGTCGACAACGACGACGACGACGAAGACGACGACGACGACGACAACGACGACGACGACGACGACGACGCGACGAGGACGAGGACGACGGACAGCGGACGGCAGACGGCGACGGCGGCGACGACGACGACGACGCACTGCGGATGCCCTATGGGGGGGTTGCGCTTGCGCAGGCCCGTTGTAGTCGACGACGACGACGACGACGAAGACGAAGACGAAGACAACGACGACGACGACGACGACGACGACGACGACAAGGACAGCGAAGAACAAGAAGACGACGACGACGACGACGACGACGACGACGACCACGACGACGACCACGACGACGACCACGACGACGACGACGACGACGACGACGACGACGACGACGACGACGACGACGGCGGCGACGCAGAGGGGGAACGAAAATTCGGTTCGGATGTGTAATTACGACCCTGTTTTGAGGCTGTCATCCAGGGGGGTACACGATCCCCTCGGCGGCGCCAGCGACGACCCCCTGGCGTGCGTGATTTAAAAAAAAGTTTCGCGCCCCGCGGGGTCTATTCATCAGCCCCGGGGGGGGGGGGGCCTCTTGTTAATCACAAGCTGACATTATCGTTGCCCTCGAGGGCCTCCCTCCCGAAATCGGGGGCGCCCAAAAGGGGGGGCGTCCAAGAGGGCGGGGGGTACAAATCATGGCGGGCGGCACGTGCGCGGCCAAGGGGGGGCGGGGAAGGAGTGAAATAAGAAGAGGCGCCATGAAATCTGGGGAGGCATCATGGCCCCCGCCATGAGATCCACCCCCCCAGTCACCACCCCCCTCTTGGCCGCCCTCGACATAGACAGTGGGCGCCAGCAGCAACACAGGGGGGTTGCCCCCACCGGGCGAAGATGATCCTGGATGCTGGCGTTGGTGATGATGTTCTGGCCACTCAGACAGCCCGACGATTACCACCCTCGCCGACATCGGGAGTAAAGTCGGGGCGCTGAAGAAGGAACCATTTTCGTTGGGGAGAGGTTCCGTGTTCCTTAAGTGTTTTACATTGTGCCTTGGGTTGTCCTTCGGTTCTCCATGTGGAATCGAAATTGAATGTATGGGAAAAATGGGCCTCGTTCCATATTTAGGATTCCTTAGGTCAACGCCCCGACTGTACCTTCCCTCGGTGAAGGCACACCGCCGATCTCGGTGGCGCTGCCAGCCTCTCGGCCTCCGTCCTCCTCCTCCTCCTCCTCCTCCTCCTCCTCCTCCTCCTCCTCCTCCTCCTCCTCCCTCCTCCTCCTCCTCCGTCCTCCGTCCTCCTCCTCCTCCTCCTCCTCCTCCTCCTCCTCCTCCTCCTCCGTCCCTCCTCCTCCTCCTCCTCCTCCTCCTCCTCTCCTCCTCCTCCTCCTCCTCCGTCCTCCGTCTCCTCCTCCTCCTCCTCCTCCTCCTCCTCCTCCTCCTCCTCCTCCTCCTCCTCCTCCTCTCCGATCCCTCCCGAGAGCGGCAGGGCGGGCCACAGCTCGTCCACGGCCTCCCTGAGCACGGCGGCCGGGGAGCCGCCGCGCGCCGCGGCGGGGCCCAGGCCCGCGGGCTCCCGGGCCGGCGCCGCCTGGCGGGGCCGGCGGGGCCGGCGGGGGCCCGCCCACACGGGAGGAGGAGGGAAGATGGTGTAAAAAAATATATTCTAATATTCAATAAATTTGAATTTGAAGCTGATTGTGTTATATTGACTTCGATGTAGAGGCTAAATGACTAAATGACTGCAAGAGTACCTTGTCACATGACTGCTTGACAGCGCGGGCGCGCGCGCGCCCGCCTGGAACTGGTCGAGCAGCGAGTGGCCGCCGCTCTATCGGGAGGGGGTTGTGCCTCGGGCAGCCTCCTCCTTTGCCTTGATTCGGGCATGCAATGCTGCCATACGAACCTCGTAGGACAGGACAGAATCAGGATTCGATCGAGTGACGCTTGTGGAACTCGAAGAGGGCTGGGCACTGTCGAGGGCGACTCTCTGGAGGGGCGCGACGGAATCGATGCGTCTGGCCAGCCGCTTATGCGGACCGACTCCCCTCCTGAGATTTCGCAGCACTTCTTCACCCTTCGACGTAGGCTTCACGCAAGGGGAGCGAAGCTTGTCTTTACGACGCTGCTGAGCCCAGGCCCCACACAAAAAACAAACAAAAACTGGAGCTGTGCAGGCAGGCCCCGCGCAGCTCCAGCTGGACACGCTTCCCTGGGAAACAGCAACCAACTGGTGGCCCAGGGGATTTTGCCTGAAATCTCTCAAAAACTTGGGCAACCCTCTGCAGCCCAGCATGGGCCTGTCACGTCCAGGCTCCGAAACGCTGAGACAATTCCTACACTGAGTGCCGATAGAGGTTCTGCACCAGTCATGCCAGTTGTCTTTCATAGTGTGCCTCGACCGCTCGAACACAGGGAGCCTGGAAAACCTCTCCTCAAGCTCGAAACACGGGAGAACGTGGGCACACAACTTCACAAAGTGATTGGCCTGGGTGCAAGCTTCCTCTACCCTCACAAGGAACTCAGGAGAAGCAGATGGGTGCAAGAGCGCAGCTTTTTTGGCGAACACATCGGCGACCACGTTGGCGTCCGTGATCCGCCTATCCTCGTCCGAGAGCGCCTGGTCCTGCTCGCCAGACTTGTGGGCCTCGACGTGGTGGACGCTCTGGATGTTGTCGTAGCCGCGCATTTGGTGGCCGAAGAACTGCACGCACGAGTACATTGACTTGGCCTGCAACTGTTCCTGCTCCGACTTCAGTGCCGCCTTCACCACTGCCATAAAATCTGCATATACCGTGGACGGTCGGTCGGCGATCTGCCCAACGAAAGCCATGCTCAGGAATTCCGCCATCGCTGACAACTGGGGCATGGCTCTGGGGACCGCGCCGCACATGACTGCAACTGGCGTGTCAGCCGTCGGGTTCATCAGCACCACAGCCCACCCAGCCCTCTGAAGAGTGACCAGTGAAGGCTTGCTGCAGGATCCATCAACTGCGAATTCCAACCTGTCACCTTGTACAAGTTGCTCGGCTAATTGCTCAGGTTCAGCATCAATATCTTCGCCCTCAGGAATGGCTACATGCGCCTCAACACCTGGATCGAGCTCTGGGATGTCGCTGTCCTCGTAGATGAAGCAGCCTTGGGTGAAGCATCTCTCATCTGGATGATCAAAACCAGCTTGGATAAAAGATGCTGGCACCTCGGATTCGGCTCTAGCTGCAGTCACCTCTGGCAAGGAACAAACAAACAGCCTGTGGTGAACCGTATCTGCTGCTCCACACTTGCATCGACCATCAGTTTGGTATCCTCTGAGACGTGCTCGCTCCTTGTTCCAATGGCCTTCCACCGCCGACGTGCGAACAAGAAATTTCTGATGCTTATTGAGACGACGGCTCTTGGGCCGAACTGCTGCACGAACCAAATCAAATGAAACGCGAGATCCTGGTGGCGCTCCCCATTTGTCTGCCAAGGTCATCTCAAGTTGACGCTGCATGGCTTTGCCCATGAGATCCTCGAGAATGCCTGGCGTGAGTTGCTCCGGGGGTATGTCAGCTCCTCGGTGATCTTTCCAAACTGTACTTGACTGAACTGACCAACCAACTCTGCGTACACACAGTGCTGCGCGAACCAGGGGACCTCTCGTTTGCTTCCATTCCAGTGCTGCAACATCAAGGTGGAGTAAGGCCTTGTCCCACCATGACTTGAGCACCTGCAAGGATACCACTGCTGTGTCTGGCTGCGATACTGCCATCCAGACCATTCGACTCCATTGCAACGCTGGTGCCACAGCCTGACGCAATGCGGGGTCGCCGTCTAATACCAGCTTTGCTGTGATCGAAACGCCTCCGTGGAATGGTTTGACCTGCCTGCAGTAGTCACGCCGCAGCTGCAATAACTCAGCGCTGTCGAGTCCCAATATATCCACTCCGTAAGTTAGCGCTGGCCTGGCGCCAGCGCGAAAAACTTTGCCAATCCTTTGTTCTTTAAGCTCAGGCAAGGCTCTATTGTACCGTCTCAGCTTGAGAAGACGCAGACGGTGCTTGGCCTTGCGCTTGGACATCTTCGCTCGGGTTCTCGGTGCCACACGAACTCTGCCTGCTGCCTGATCCGCGCCAAGATAGGTGGTCGATGTGACAGCCTTGTCTGCCGAAAACCCGAGCTTGATAGCAACTTCCTCGGCCAGATCTCTCGTGGCGGCGAGGACTGCGAACTTCTCATTGATTGCGGCTCCAAGTGCGGCGGCCGTCCCCAAGAAGACTTTGCCAGCTTCGACCGCGAGGGAGGTGACTGAGGACCTGTCAGCACTTTCGACTCCCATGCTTGAGTCGTCTATATAGCTGGCGAAGTCGACTAAGGGATGGAGCGCCACATAATAATCGCACTGCTCGACTGCGTGCACTTTGCTGGCCATGTCAGCCACCCCGAAGCCAGCAGGAATACCGCACTCTGCATGTCCAGGTTGATTGCCGTGATGCTGCAGCAGTCGGATCAGTCTTGGCGCACGCCAGGTGTTGTAGGTGAGCTTGACTGATGCCGTGGCCGCTCCGAAGCGAATAAACTTCTGCCGCAGCTGCTTCAACTCGATGTTCTCGTAATACTTCGAATAATCTGCTATGAGCGTGACAGAAAACCGATCTGAGGCTGTGCTGGCTTCTGCGCGAGCTGCTAGCTTCCATGCACTGCCGATTGGACTGCGACCCTTGCCAGCGCCCCAGTATTTCCTGTCCAACACCTTCATCAACTCATCATATTCGCATCTTCTCATCCTTTGCCAAACGCGGTAGGCCGACGCGCACAAGATAATGAGACGGTGGCCTCCCTGAGGCTTTGGCAACATAGGCATGAGAATACATACCAATTGCTTGGGAAGCATCCCAAGTGATTCCATGGCTTCGTACAGAACTGCTAGCACTCTCAATGCATCGCCACTTAGATGCAACAGGTGTCGAGGATGAAGTCCGTCGAGGCCCGCTGACGTGGTGCTTGGAAAAGTGCGAGCGGCTCTGCGAATGTCTTCAAGTTCCGCTCGTCGATGAGAGCTTCTGTCGGGAATCCAAGCTCTAGGGGCCTCCGTGGAGCTTCGCCATATCGGTTTGTATTCAGCTTCCATGGCAGCAACAACATAATGAGGATGAGCTGAATACTTCCCAGCGCTAGTCATAACTGTGGTGGGAGCCTGTACTTGTCGAACTTGCGTCAGTCTGTGAAGGCCTCGAAGTCCTCCAGCGCTGGCTTGACGACACCAATCGTTCCATCTCGCTTTACTGTCCTTGTCGGCTCCCTGAAAGGCTTGGTCAACATCACCCTGCCATTCGTCTTGCAGCTCACGTATGGCGTCTGCATGAAAGTGACCGCTGGCGACTCGACGTGCTTGCTCGACACTGGCGTCCAACCTGCGGTTTAGGCCTTGCCCAGGGTAAGCGGAAGACTGCAGAATGAGAACCTCGTCCTGCAACTTGTTAATCTCCTCGGGCTGACGGCTTTCACGCAGTTGAGCACTTGTTGTCATCATATCAGAAAGCCATTTCCATCCGTCTGCACGCGCTTGGATACCAGGAACGTCCTTCAGCTCATAGTGGATGTCCACCCATCTTGGCTGCAGGAATTTGGAGTATACACCGTAATATTTGACCTCTGTGCAAGTAATATGAGCAATACGACGGGCTGCTTGCTCAGCGAACTGACCCCATGCCAACGCTAGCAGACCCCAAGCTGCATCTGGCCGTGCTTCTTCAGCTAGAACCAACGCCTCGTCAGCATACCTGGCAGCCCGACTCCAGGGATCATCTGGTAAGTGAGGGCCTTCAGGGATGACTGGTGGCAACTTCGGTGCCGCGCCGTAGGTCAAGACTTGCAAGGACTTGCCTACTGCCGCCATGTGCAGATGAACTGGCCTGTGCGGCTTGATGTGCCACTCGGCGTCCACCGTGACGGTGCGAAAAAGAAGCATGGCGGCCTCGCTCGGTGCGAAGTAGTCGATCGTAGATGCTGAAGTTGGAGTGCGGCAGGTAACCTCTTTCGGAGCGGTGATCTCCACATGCGCATGTAGTGGAAAGGTCGACTCCTCAACAACATCTGTGCTCATGTTCCAGCCACCTCCAATGAGTGCTGGATGAATGAGTCCAGCCATCTCTTCTCCAGCTCTGGCGAGAATGGTCGCGTTCCTAACTGTCATGCCCTCGCACGTGTGGAGGCAGATGTTAAATATACTCAGGGTCGGCCAGCCTGGGACGTCCACTTGAATGTGTTGCGCTCGGTGTGCAACTATTTCCGACGTGTTAGCTGCAGGTGGCCAGCGCAGACCAATCCCATTGCGAGCAAAAGCAGAGACGCCTGCCGTGGGGAGGTGACCTGCTGCGGGAGCTCCTGGTAGTGCGATGACTGGCCAACCCATCTTGGCGGCGAAACTGTAGAGCTCCTCCACGTCGTGTGTGAAATAACCGATCTCATGGGCCAGGATGATCTTGGCCTTGCTTGCTTTGACTCGCTTCTTTAACGTATTGCGCCCCTGGTTGGCGTTGAAGGTCTCGATCAAATGCATCTGGAGAGCGCTCTCGGGAGTAGCTGGAGCCTGACTGCGACCACCACATACTCTGAGGCTGCTCACTCTTGGAAGCAGATCTCGGCTGGCGTTAGACGAATTCTGCGCGCCAGATTGCCAGTTTGCATGAGCTGCTTCCAACGTCTGCGGCGACGAGTCCGTCGACTCGGACTGCCCAGGGACCCCCAAGATCCAGGGAACGCAAGTGATGGGATCGTTGGCATGTGGCCTGCATCCAATGTCAGGCTGACCATACCCATCAGCTGCAATACTTCCACCATTTGCGGAGGCTGCAAGAATCTGAACTGAAGAAGCCGAGCTCATCGAAGTCGGCCCATTAC